GGCTATCATTTTTTTCTTTCTTTTTTTTCCTCCCAAAGGGGGGGGGGCGGGGCTGGGCTGGGCCCACTAAATCCGCCCCTAAGGCGTAACTGACTTCCTGGAACATCTTTAACATAATATAGTCCGTTCCGATTTACAATTTCACTTCAACAAAACGTTGTTTATATCTGACGCAACCACGTGCTTATAATAACCATAATGAGTAAGTTACTACTTGCCTGTTTAATACTGAATGTAGGCGTAAACAAATAGTGTTGTATATGGACACACTCTAGCATTTTGATGAATCCTTAAACCATATTGTTTAATAAAGATGTTTTAACTTACATTTTGTCTGAAATCAGAAATCGGAAATCAGAATGTGGATGATTCCAGCCGCAGATTGCTTTTCTTCTGTTTGAAATTAAGAATACTGTATTTATGAGGGTAGGTTTACACTACCAGTAACAAAAGTGATACTATATACGTAACAGTGACATGAATAGGTCGGTATACAATTATTTATTTATGATTAAATTCACCATAATTGTTTGTTTTTATAATACATAGGTCTAAACAAGTACGAAAAACACCAGTAATAACATAGAAAATAATAATAATAATAATATGTAAGCCTTGTATAGCGCATAATACAATAAATGCCTCTTTGAGCTGTACAGGAACAAAAAAGAAAAATAACCATGAAATATTCTAATGCTGGAAATCAAAGAAAGTAGATGGCAAGTCAGTCAAATCATTTTCACTCAGTTCTCTAACACTTTGAAAACCTATAATGATAATAATAATAATAATAATAATAAGATTTATTAAGCGCACATCTCCACATCTCCATGATGTGACCTTTGAATGAAGCTCCACCCCAAATCACAAAATAATACATCAAAATTTAAATCTTAGGAAAAGATATTGGAATATGTAATATGAAATTCCTCCGACTGGGGTATAGCTTTCCCCTCACCCCCACTGGAGCGCTAAAGTACTGGGCGAGGTCATGTGTCAAGCTGCCTGTTCGATCAAATAGTGCAAAAAACCGGGTTCTTGGCTTGAATATGTCCATTTTTGTGTAAATGATAAGTTTTCCAATTCCAACAGCTGTCCCCTTCTATTCAGACCTTTGAATTAAGCCCCACCCCCACATGCCCATGCTTTGACACTAATTCAGCTTTGCTTAGTTGAAAAATACAACGTTTTTATTAGAATTGGAATCGGCCAAACATATTGAGGTAATATTATTATTAGATAAAAAAGAAATAAGAAAATCATGCATGGGATGCACCAAAGTTACCAGACACAGAAGAGGTCACAGCAAGCAATATGTAACCATGGAAAAAGACTGACCTATACTATGTCCATGAATTAACCTACAAGCATACATCTACACCCATCACTGAGTCATTCTTCCCCAGATAGAAGCCATCGCATGGATGGAATGTTTTACCACAGTCACTCGTAAACAAATCTTCGATAATCACCTTTAAAAATATTATCCAAAAGCACTGAAAATCCAAAAAAAAAACCTTATTAAGGAATCCACTATCTCCACTTCCAGTTTAGTACCTGGCGGACGGTTTGGGAGTTTTGTTTTATCTACAATGTACAAGGTACAAAAGGTACACGAACTTTTCAAACATTCCTCCCACGACGCTGCCACGACGTTCACAAGAACGCCACCTATTCACCTATTGGGCATGGATCAAAGGGATTTCCCCTTTAGCAGATTTTTGCAGTTCAGTCCGCTGCGTGAAGATTTTGCTGTTCAGTTGATAATTGGTTTCAAAATGCTAAAAAGCTACAAGTGCTTACCCGTATATGTTGTAGAAAATCACCAAGAGGTAATTCGTGTTTTGAAACTTCTAGGCAACACCAATCTCCACGTAGGTCCTATCCAAAAAAAATTAGACTGGCCTAGCTAGGTAGGCTAGGGGGCTAGGCCTAGCCGTGTCATTACATTATAGGCCTAGCCTACTACAGGACGGGTTCGTTTGTCATGTGGGAGGCCTAGACCTGTATTCAGTGAAGGATGAGACTTGGCCGATTGCAAATAGTGCCTCGTTGATTTAGGGGCCTCACGTTAAGTCTCTATTGTTTTTTTTAAATATTTTTTATTGTTTTTTTTAAATATTTTTTTATTGCAGGCTTTACAACATATTTACCGTGCAATGGGATCTCGGCATCTGCCTTTGGATGGGGTCGTGATGGTTCATCTGGATGCACATCCTGATCTTATGATATCTACCGATATGAAAGCAAACGTTGTTTGCAACAAGCAAGCTTTGTTTGAGTAACTACACACACACTTTTCTTTAAAAACTGTGTGATATATAAGCATGGATATCAGAGACAGATGGAGGGTGCAAGTGTTAGTGAAGTGGCACGCCTGGGGGGGGGGATTCAACTGTTTGTTGAGTATACTGTTTTGCTTAGCAAATTTATATTGTGGCAGCAAACTTTTTGGTGAGGGAAGGGTATGCCTGCATGCCTTCAGATTCACTGCCCCTGTAATTCCATCAGTTTTAATTACACAATGCTACTCTCTGAAAACTGATCTCATTGTGATACTCACAATCAATCAATCACAATCACAAATCAATTTATTCAATCCAACAACAAAATATATGATCATAATGTTACAAAAAAGTATAAAAGAAAATTGAAATTGTAGGATTTGGGAGACTCTCGTTAAGACCAGAGGTCGCAAGCATGAGAGCCACCCAATAAATTAAATAATTAATGAAAATTGGAAAAGAAAACAGAAAAATTATATACATTTATATACATCTTTTTCATTTTATGTTCAAAAAAGTGATGTAAAGCTTTTCTCTTAGATTTATAAAAAGCATAATCTAATTTTCCCTTAACTTCCCTTAATGAACAACTTAATCAAAATAGAATTTTTCTTTGTTTAATTATATAGGCCTATACCTGTCTCTTATACACATCTAGATGTGTATAAGAGACAGCATCTACACCCATCATTCAGTCATTCTCTAGATGTGTATAAGAGACAGCACCTATATACACATACACACACACATACATACACATATAAAAAACCATATGGAGTCTCAGAGAATAGAACCCGTCATCTGTCGCCAGCATCTCGGTGTCATACCATTTAGACCATGAGGCCCTACAATATTATTACAGGACGTAAGACCACGAGTCTTTTTTCTCTCCTATACAACTACAGGTCTCCCTCCAATGAAAGACCCCTCCAAATAAAGGACTCATGTCCATCTACTGTTTATCATCTTGCAGGAACTTGAGTATAGAGAATTGGATAATGCCTGCCATGTATTCTGGACACCTACATCATGTTGTATGGGTAAAGCCACCATGGGCCAATCAGCTAGAACTTGGCCAAACAACTTTCCATATAGGAACACATTCTGAATCACAGAAAATAAGGTGACCTAACAATCAATTAAACTGTATACTGTATTTGACATAACCAAAAAGAATATATGATATAATACAGATTTCTAGATGTATGTTTTTGTAAGTATTTGGGAATGCACTGACCATGCAATACAACAATATTTGAGGTAGGGAAAAACATCATCCATATGATTATTAATCCTCATTAACTGTGTTGGTGTAAAAAGGAAACCACATTGATAGCTCATAGACCAAAGTATAGCCACCTTCATGCAGGCATTACAAATATAGGTAAAAACTTATTAGACCATACAGTAGTATATAGCAATGGAAGCGTTTTAGGCTCAGACTCTCAACCTCGTGATCGGGAGTTTTCAACACTCTCGCCGAGCAAGTTGCTTGTGTCCTTTGGCGAGATGCTTTTTCTGCGTTACCCAGGAGTACCTATATAGCAATGGTATATCTATATAGACCAATAAATATATCATGAATATAATAGAGCAGTTAAACATTAAAACTGTCATAGATCAATTATAGCAATCCGCCCTGATGCACCAATAAATTGTTCAAATATGTGCATATTCATTTAATTATAATTATCATTGTTATCACTCATGTATTCATGAGCATAATCATTGTCATTGTAGAAGCATTCTCGTCGCGGTCCTGGATAACGCTAATGATACCACCACCCCCACACACAAAATTAAGTCAACTTCTACTTGTATCATTATTTTCATCATGCCACTAATGAGTACAAAGATTGTGCTAGAAGCTGTCCAGATCTGGCTGAAACTAAGTACTGTATCTAGCAAGGTTTTGGACACAATAAGACAAAGAAGTTTGCCTCATCATCATTATAATAAGATTTGATTTTTTTTCATATTTATATAGGGTTACTTGGCCAGATTCATATTTCCTAAGTGATGTGTTATTTGCAACAAGAGATGAACTTCAGAATGCAAAGAAAGTGAAAGTCAGTGTTGTCGACTTGGAAACACCTCTGCTGAAGAGAGCAACATTTCAGGAACTTGAAGAGCTTTCCAAAGAACTGAACAGAAAACGATTAAATTATGGTGACAGGAATAAAACAAAGGAGTCTGTCACTGCCAAGAGTCAGAATGAACATGATCAGTACAAAAAAAACCTCATGAAACCATCTGTGACTGATGATCAGGGCAACCATATTGATTGCAAAACCAAGGAGTCAACATCTGAAGACATCATAGAAAAGAAAGCTGGGAGTGCCACCCACAAGAATGATTCCGGTGAAGAGGAAATTATTTCTAATCATTCAAAGTTGATTTCTTCTGAGAGTCAATTCGAGCAAACACTCGGCAGTCCTCATACAGATTCTGTCGAATACATGTTTGAAATCATTTCTAAAGCTATAGAGGCCAGTAAAGCATATATTCTTGATATTGACTTGGATTTCTTCTCAACGAAAAACCCATTTAGGGAGTTGTACACAGAGGTAGGATACTATTCAACAGTTTCAAAATATTCAATTCCTGAATAAATGTTAAAATAAAACTGTAGAAAGTAGCGTAAAATTTTAATTTCATTTTTATCATATTTTATCATGTAAAACAAATGACTTCACTGGGTACCTTCAGTAATATTTTGACTTTATTTTTACCCTTAAGGATAGGCCTATATTTGTTCTTTATTTTTATCCTTATACTTTTTCATGTGTTTTTGTATCAGTAGGAGGCTATCGATCGATGAACTCCGTGTCGGTGCTAGCTTCCCATCTGCCTTAAATGTTTTATAAATACGTTTTTTTTATGCAATTGCTATTTTTTGTAAGGCATATGAAAATAAAAAAAGATTTTAATGTCTTACAATTTAATTTATTATAGGAACAGTATGATGTACTTAAGAGTCTGTACGACTTTGTAGGACCAGAAGATGATTCAATAAGTGCAATACATAAGTGCCAAGAAGTTAGGACACTACAGTTGATGGAATTAGAGATGGCTCTCAAGTCATGTCTACAAGTCATTCCACTCACTGATGAAGTCAAGCAATTTAAGTATGTTGTATTCCATAGTGTAAAACCCCAAATTGAAGCCCTGGGCTTCTTTTTTTTTTTGTGAACTTTGGATGGGCTTCTTTTTGAGGCCACTTTGGCAAAATAAAGAGGTGGGGGGAGCTTCTTTTCTAAATAAATGCTGTAAGTTTTGGAAATTAGTACTATAAAACAATAAATGCGCCACTTTAACATCAATCTGTATCACAGAGTGTATTAACCAGCATTGAATCACCTAAACTACTGTATAAACAAAGCATGTTATTAATTTATTTTTTTTGTTTTAATTTATTTTGTTTATTATTTGAAATTCATGTATTGTGTATGTACTGTACTATCTCGGAAAAGAAGCCATGCTATCTTGAAAAATAAGGGCATGGGCTTCTTTTTGAGGCTAATTTTGCTTCTTCTCGAGATTAAGCCCATTGGCTTAATTTGAGGTTTTATGGTATTTTAATGTACGGTATTAATAAATATTTTAATTCATTCACTTGGCCGCTCCCCAAATTAAGTCTCCTCCTAAGACCCTTTGTCCAAACCCACATACATGAATATGATTCCATGTGATTATTTTTTTGCAATGTAGATCTATCAGAATAATCTGATGAATAAACGATAATAATTATATATATAATACACGTATATACATACCACTTTGCATCTGGTTTGGAATGGGAGAGCATTGGGTGGACTATTCCCCTGGGGGGGATTATTCATCTAGTAATAAAAATACAGAAAGACGCCCATAAAACCATAATGTAGAGTTTGTTCTGACAACAAAAGTTTTCATCCTGGCTTGGGCTTGGGCCCTATGGAGATTTTGTTCTTACCCCGAAAATTGTTCATCTTGGTCCAGGCTCCCCAGTAGACCTGGGCCCCGGGGAAGCGACCCCCCTGACCCGTCTCTCGACACCACTGGTGGTGGATGGGTGGTTTGGATACTTGTCTACCATGCTGATGACCTGGTTACATTCCCTGTGTCTGATGAAAATCCGTTACGAACGGATAAAATCGCCACTACAGTACGTATATTTAATGGTTTACTTGCAAGAATTTTTTCCATGTTCATTCCCTGTGAGGATGTCTCTCAACTGTAATTGAGAACCTGGTTCTTATTCTTTAGTGCCAATAAAATATACAGCTGGATGGGAGGACATGGTCACTAACAGGTGCGGATTTAGGGGGGGGGGCCGGCCCGGCCCCCCCTTTTGGGAGGTAAAAAAAAGAAAAAAAGAAGAAAAAAAGAGAGAAAAAGAAAAAAATGATAGCCCAGAATGCCTCAAATGTTATGTTCAGGCGTCTAGAACACAAAAATTTCGTGGGGGCATGCCCCGGACCCCCTACGACAGTGTTGTCTCAATCGGCCCAACTTTCGGCCCCCCCCTTTTGGACATTTCTGGATCCGCCCCTGACTAAGTACAGTAAACTTATTTACTACCATATAACATTGTGTCAGAGAACCACTCCCATCCAGTAATTATTATTATTTGATGCAAAAGTAAATATGGGACTATCTTTACCTTTTTTCATTAATATTTCATAATGAATAAGAGTAACATATTATTTCTATTGTGTAGATGTTATCAAGAAGTAAGCAACCTTCTTATCAATATACAAAAAACAAGTCCCGAGCCTTTGGATTGGGAATTGATACACGCTGCAGGCATGTCATGTGATAACACTGACCCAGAGCTCCCTCACCATGTTAGCACTGTGGAGGAAATAAATAGTTTGTTGGCTGCTGCAGAATCATTGTTTACCAGGTTACCAAGGCCAACCTTAATCACAATGTCCAGGTGATTTTTACATTATACACGATTCACACGATGAAATTTTACATGGGAATGGATGCTGGTGAACAATTTAGCAAATTGTTCCCTCCTGCATCTATACGAGATTAGCATGCACCTATGCATTTGCATGCTCTCAGGTAGATTTTACCGAGTCAGACTATTGCATTTATTCTTTCTAAATACCAGTGGCATGTCTTGGGTAATTTGACCATGGAGAAAGTTACGCAGATTTTTTGCACTGGACTTTTTTGGTCAAAAATTTACCAGGTACATTGTTAGTTTCACCAAAATTAATCCAATGTGAACACAACTTAAGAAATGAAAATAAAAGATAAAAATGCTGACTGACTGCTCCTGATTTTCAAATATTCAAATATAGTATCACTATGCTTAGGCATGAATCTTGTTATACCTTGTTTCGTAAACTTATTCTTTTATAGATCATCAGACGAGGGCGGAAAAAAATAAAAATAAAATTTGGTTTTCTTATTCAGCAAATAGTTTTGCCAAAAAACATCCAGACAGAGGAGAAAATAAAAATAAAATTTTATTGATGAATGTACAGTGTAGTAATGGGATGGTTAAATGCTTTAAATTTATATAATTAGGAAGAAATATACATACCTTATTTTTGGAGATTGCAAGGCAGCGGTTTGCATAATAAAACTAAAAAAAACTTCATTTTTTTTTAAATTTCCAATTTTTCATGGCGGTGGGTTCGCTAATTGGCCAAAAATAAAATTTGAAATCATCATTATTGGCTGGCAGCCTAAACAGAAATAAAAAGTCTTGCAGTGAGTGGGCAACATAATTTAATTTTTTGCCTTAACCTGTGCATGTTTTAATTTTTGTCATTAACTAAAGTTTGCTTTGATGTTGTTGCAGGTCAAGCTACGATGACTATTGCCCACCTGAGCAAGTCGACATGATTCAGCAGAAAACGCTGAAAATGCTTCAGACCGTGTTTGGGCAGATAGATGTCCATCTAGATTATGAAAATTACAATGATGACGAGAGTTAGCGACTCAATCGTAAAATGTAGAATATCTCCTTATAGTCACCCACAGTGAACCATCGCGCTAAATTATTGCCGAGGTACCACAAAATGAACCAGCCATTTGTAGGGAAATATTACTAAAGTGTGTGTGGTTGTAAATGTGATTATTTTGCCAATTGAATAACACATTCTGATTGGTCTGTTGTTATGTTTCACATTAATATACATAGGTCCATTAACAACCATTCCCATCTGAGATACATTAGTTTGTAGTGATTAAATGAGTGCAACACTAGCACCCTACATTTTTTTTAATGGTAGACCACCTTATAATATAGTCTCTGCACCTCAAAAACACCCCATGGAGATAATGGAATTTCCCACCCAAGGTAGACATTTTTCCTGCAAACACTTAAATATATGAATTTAGTTTATAAAAGGGTAAGTTGGGAAAATACACTTTGCATTCAAGTTACAGTACTTAAAAAATATTTTGATGAGTGGTTTGCAGTAGAAAACATAATTGGACAATAGAAATCTTTGAAGAAATATTTTATTATCAAATCAATTTTACTTCATTTCTCTTTGTAGAGTATTAATTGAAATAACATAATACATGGATTACTTAGTAACAGTATGTTTCAATAGTGTGTCTCTTCAAGTTATTTTTTCTTTTTCTTCTTTTTGGGTTCAGGAACCTCTTCTTCTTGAATCACTGCATGTTTAGATTTCTTTTTCTTTGAAATCTCATCAAATATCTGTCCAATTTGATCATCAGCTGTAGTAGTTTCCATCTGTAGAAGACAACCAGAAATACAAACAATTAGAATTTTAAAGTAACTTTTTTGAATCATGCATTCTCTAGATCCCTTTATTTTCCAGTAATTATCCTTTTTAATGAATTGTAATATAATATGGTAACTAGACAGTTGTTTAGTGTATCAACAGGCTCAAAGTGGTTTCACAATATTTAAACAAAAGGTGGTCATTTGGATCATCTATTTCTTTTACCAGGCTATTATTGTTAGTGTTGGCTTGGTCATGAATCCTACAGCCCCTTGATTAGAAGCAACCCTTCCCCATCAAACTTGCTAGACCTCCCCCCAAAAATATCTACAGTCAAACCAGGCATCACAAATGCTTTATGGTTCATACTTCTCTGTTCTCTTAAAGTTTACCTGCACCTTCTGTGGAATTAGAACTATATTTATGTAGGCATGCCAATTTTGAGCTAGCCCTATGTTTTTTTTTTCCAATTAAATGCAAATTCAATATATAATTCAATTAGTTTATTTAAAACAACTGACAGACTTACTCCCTCTTTTGATTGTGTAGCTTCATCATTAGAATCCTGAAGCTCTTCTGTCTTCTTGACCTCTTTGTCTTTTCCTACAAAACAAAATAATGTGACTTTAGAAATGAAGTACTGAACTACCAATTAATCAGTGGTGGATTTGAAAGGGGAGTAGGAAAGCCAGCCCTAGGCCCCCTAAATTTTTCAAAATTATAAAAAAATAGGGAGAAAAGAAAATTGTATCTAAATTTAAATCCGAGATTACCATTTCCGGCCATCTAGAGTTGCCATAATCATAAATTTTCTTCTCTATGCCCACTATCCGTGAAAATCCATTCCCGGCCCTGTGTTCCCTCTATTTCAATTTCCTGGATCTGCCACAGTAAATTATACTATAGTAAAATTTAGTATAATTATTACAATATACAGTACTTGAGAGATTAATAAAGATAAAAAAAAACTAGATAAATTATAAAATTCTATTAGATATTTGGAATTGGTAATACAATAATTTAATTGTTTTATACTTCTATAGCTCTAAACTGCAAGTACACTTTTAAATTGTAAAATTTTATTAATTTGGAATTGGTAAGAAAATAATTTAATTGTTTCATACTGTAACTCTAAGCTGCAAGTACACTTTTAGCCTGTTTTCCACAAGGCGAATTTATTCGTGCGAATCAAAGGCGTTGGTTCGGTTCCTGATTGGTTGCACACTTTTTTCTCTTCACAAAAAATAGAAACAGTTTGAACTACCAATTTCGCTGAAGCGAAAAACTACAATATAAATGTGAAGGTGCATGAACCGACGCTTTGATATTCACAATAAACTTCATTCAATTATTTTCTATTTCATACGGTATATATTTTAAAAGCATGCAGTCGACGTATTGAAGGAATTATTTTGTAATGTTTACCCTTTATTGAAGGAGTTTCCGTTATAAGTTCCTCTAACATCCTTTGCTTCCGAATGTTCCCATTTTGTAGTTCTTTCCACTCATTCTTCTTTTTCTTAAATAGCTCAATGGCAAGATTCCTGTAAATGAATCGTCCAAACCGATCTGATTGCAGAATACGATCTTTTGGCGCCAGTTCTTCAATGATATTGAATCGGATTTTTAAGTTTGCTATCTTCCAGATGGTGTCAATTGTCCGACTGCCATTTTTATCACAACTTAGTTTCACAAAATTCCCCTGAAATAAATAGAACCAATTAAACAAATTCTAAATATGGCTCAAAGAATTTATGCTCGCAGTTTCTTTAAAGATACAGTCTGCAATGCTGTAAGGAACTTGAAATATACAATTCAATATTTGAATATCCTTTTTTGTATATTAAAAAATATTATTAAGCTGTTTCATTGGAGGTTAATAAAATGTATTAGAAGCCCAAGAACCTGGCAATTCAGGGATGTGAAAGGCTTAATAATGAATGTCCAACAATATGTGAAAAATACCTATAATTTATCAATTATACTTGCTTTGAGCTTTTCAACGAAACGTTCCCTTTTCTTTTCACCGACAGCTTTAGACTGTAAAAAGGCATCAACAATATGGCTGCCACATGAGTCACATGCCATAGAAATCAGGTCATCAGGTGTCATTGCTAAGAAGCTGCCTATGATGGTTTTGCAATGCTTAAATTTTAGCATTTTCTGGATCAGTAGTGAACCTTGAATGTTGAATGATATTGAGGCTGGCTTCTGATTCCCATCCTCAATAAGAGATAAAAATAATTTAATTTAATTTACATAAAAAGAGTAAATGTATAATCCTGGTTAAAATTAAATTGAATTAGGCCCCTGAGGACCTGCAGCATCTACAGTGGAGCGCTTTACCACAGTCACTACACAAAGAGACAATCTCATATTCTTTTTGAAAAGTGTACTTTCATGTAAGTTCCATTTTGTGTTCATGTGCTAATCTGTACATGGGCCCAACATATTAACATACCATCCAAAGGACAAAGTTAAATGGAGCAAAGATCTTTATACATAGACACATGCAAGAATAGCATTGGCAGGTTTTGGGCTTGGTATGATATATATCTAATAATACATTAAATTTAAGTTTTAAAAAAATATGAGGACAACCTTACAGAAGGCTGGCTAGAAAGTGCAAGTTAGAAGTGGTAGAATTTGAAGAAGAAAAAAACTAAACCAATATAAAAAAGCAAAGTAAATTGAGAAACTGGAAGATGTCAATATCAAAATAACTTTCCTGAATCTAATGTTATAGATGACAAATTTTCTTTCTAATAATCATCTAATTAGATCTAGTTAGATCTAATACTGTTGTTGAGTGTTATATCTTACCTCACCATTGCCATAGTAAATATCATGAGTTTTTAACGAGGAGAAAAGTGGGACACAACTAATCTGCTTTGATCTGGGGTCAAAGCAATGAAATGCCATTAGTAATGCTTCTATGAATTGTTCTGCGAAGAAAGAAATTTTTGACCCATTTAGTAAAGGAGCGAGCCATTATTAAAGGCGAGACATTATTTTAAGGGGTAAGCGGTTGTAGAGGTGTCAACGTTTCCATCACCTATGTATTTTGTGACTGGGAAGTTCATTAATTAAAAAATAAAATAGAAATTTTTTTTTATTAATTACGGAATCTGAGGCACCTAGTTGTCTCAGATACAATCAACAAAAACAAGTATCATTATCCATTATCAAATTATTAAAGGTATCATACTCTGTTTACTGCTTAGCCTGAAACAAGCATCTGCAAGGTGCTGTAAAACTTGCACATGATTTACAGCCAAGAGGTCTTCAAAGTGGCCATGCATCTCATCAAAAACTACCACCAACTATAAAAAAAAAAAACAAACATAAAGACATAACAATGAACATATTCAGGTTTATTTATTCAAATTCAAATCACAAAAAGGAGGACAGGTACAAAACTACTAGTAACTAGAACACAATGGGTGAGATGCAAGTGAAATTGTATCTTTGAAGTACAAGATACACTGTAATTTCATCCAACACAGAATTTCCCAAATATGCACACAGTGATTCTGCAGTCTGTGTTAGGCTATATAGATCTTATCTAGCATGGGCCTAATAACACACTTCAATCTAGGACTTCAGGCCTCACATAAAAGGCCTTGGGAGGCTTGGATAGCACAGTTCTAGCAGTTAGATGTTTAATTTCAATGAGCCTTACCTAGTACACTTTGCAAAATTCCATTCAAGCTTTTGAAGTTAGTGGGTGGGGTTATAACCAGATGGAGTGTTGTGTATAAACATTACTCAAAAGTTAGGGGATGGGTATATAAACCTGAGATGGGCTTATATACTGAGGAACCAAATTCATCAATAAAAATTAATACTTATTAAATACTTTTTAAATGTTTACCTGTTCTTCTGTGTTGACTTTCTGTAGGACTGTTTGTACAACATGGTTGGCAATTGGATGAAGGGCTATGGGTATCAGATGCCCACTGAAATGCACTTTAAAGAGCTTACAAAAGGCTTTCTCAGATGAAACCTGAATCAGAACTTCCAGGAGGTGGCTTCCAATTGTGTCCACCATCAGAAGAGGAAGTTTACTAGAGAAACAAATATTAATAATTAATAAATAATAACATATGTATATTAAAATATTGTCTGTCTAAGCATGCATTTGAAGGGTTGGGTCAGAGGCTGAACAATTTAATATAACTGACAATGTACCACTGAGCCCTCTACTGGCAATAAACAACAAATCTAGTAATAATAATCTACATTGGATGCAAACAGTGTGTACAAAGTATATTTTTTCTGGTTTATAATTAGTATTTTTTTTATATAGTGTAAATGAATAAGATCATGATATTAACGATGAAGATAGTGGTAAAAAATGGTGACAATGTATAAAAATGGTGGATTTATATAAAGTAGATTATATTAACACTGGAAGGAAATGAAATCAAATATAATTTTTATTACTTTACTTCAATAATCTATCAACTTTGATGCACTACATGCAAAAGATGAAAAAACAAATCTGCTGTACAGTACCTGTCTTGTGTAGATGACTCTGGTTTCTGTAGTACTGCACTACACCTCTTGAGAATAAGCTTACAGAGTTTCTGGCACCTTCCATCATCCTTAGACTTCAATACTAGCAGTAATGCTTCCAGTACTGTGCTGGCAATTGGATTTAGAAGTAATTCTAATGAAAAGAAGGCAAACTTATGATCAGGATTTGGTTTTCTTCCGTACATTAATATACACTGTTGGATTCTTCATATCATTATCATTATCCTCTTAAAAGGCAAAACCAAAACATACAAATAATTTTTTAATATCTTTTTAATTTATTGATTTGCTATTAATATTAAAATATGTAAATATATATCTACCTGATAGATTTGGTAGTTCCTTGATTCTGGTAATGAATGAATTTAATAGTTCCATAAATTCTTCTGGTAATTCTTGTTGATCTTCTTTTATAACTGTTGTAAGTTTTCCTACAGTTAAGTTTTGACAGTTATTCAATTATAAACTACTGTATGTTACTTAATCTAAAATATGCATGTTTACAGTATGTCCCAATTATGTTAAAACAAATTAAATATTATACATACACATTCAAGTGGAATGTCAAGTTGCCAAATATTTGAGGGTAACATTTAACACTTCAAAAAAAAAATAAATAAATAAATAAAAAAATAAATAAAAATTATAATTGGAATAAAGTATATTTGTCCCTTTCTATGATTTCCTGTACAACTTACGACGCATACCTTTCTGTTGTGACCGGGACAGTCTACTTCGTGCAACTTCTTCTAACACTTTTGTGCCACTTAAAACCTCAAAGATAGTTTTCAAAACGTGACTAGCATATGTATCGATAATGACATCTTCAATGAATTCAAGAAAGGTTTTTGATATTTGTACGATCAGTTTTGATAATGATGGACTGTTTTGACCTGATTGAATGAAGAGGCCGGCTTTGCTGAGTGATGCCTGTACAACGTGACACGCAAATCTATCATGTACAGCTGTTTCAATGTCTTTTGTTATTCCTCGGATGAAATCTTCAACTTGGGTTGGATCAGCATATTGCAGCAAGTCTTCGAGAATGTGACTGGCTGTTTGGTTCCGGGCAATCTCCAATTCATGTTCTTTCAACTCATTAAATACATTTCTCAGGAATACACCTTAGAATAAAGCAAACTAAATAATAAAATAAACTTCTTTCACAAGCATTGTACTTCTTTTCCTCTAAAAACCCACCAATTTACCAGTTTACAACACAGTCTAAACTTTACATGAGTACCATAGCGGATTCAATACCGGGGCGTAGCCTGGGGTGGAATGTGGGCTCAAATACGACACTTGATCTGCTGGTATGCAGCTTAGACTGAATATCTTCTCTAGTATAATGGATGGAATCCATAATACTGGACAAGATAGTTGGCCTACCTTGTACTTCGTCGTTGTTCTTATTTCTGAAAGAAAGTCCCCTAGATAGCCACATTTAACACTGTACAGAGGGAGTGATTTCCAGGATGTTGTGTACATTATTGAAGCAGAAGCAGAGACTGTGCCACATACAGTCTCCATTCTGTGGTGGATTGCACTTGATGGATGATCGAACAATGTGTTTCACACTTACTAACTTATGGTTGCAATGATCCTACATACCCTAGGCCTGTTGGATATAAGTGCAACTGATAGACAGGGCAATCATAATTAAATTTAATATTTTTGCTTGCTCCAAACCATTAAATGTACTGGTGTTGCTTCGCTATAAAAGTGTAAAGATAACATTTGGTCCTCAAGTCATTTGATCAAGATAATTTTCATGGTCGAAGGCACAAAAATATTTTTTCCAGGCCTGCTGATAGCGCCAAGGAGTGATAGCCTAACAGTAAGCCTGGCTTTGGCATAGGCATTTATTTCTGCCTAGTAGTAGGGCCAGTACAATTACTCTAGAGGCCCTCGTGACTACAGAAAGTCACTTGCTTAAAATGCTCAGGTCCCCGGAGCGCCAGGGGGCCTCGCACCCCTCGCTCCACCACTAGACCCCAGCACTGCAGAGCCCCATCAGTCCCCGCCTCCACAGTCATGCATTTCAAAGTGCTGCAAAGTAAAGCTGGCCTTGATGATTACAAGTGTGTCTTGTTAGTAAAGACTTAAGCCTAAGAATCAAGAGATTTACCCTTATAATACATTGAATAGCTAAACTTAAGTTTCAAGCAAGGATTACACCCCCTGGACCCCATGCCATGTAATGAGGACACCACTCCCGAACCACTCCCCCACCCACAGGTAAAATTCTTCCATTTTTTACTAGCAAAATGTTAAATGTATGAAATTACAATTACAACTTACAAAAAAACTATAGTCATCATAGATAGATAGGCCCGGGCCCTAGCTAGGCCTAGTTAAAATCAATCTCATCATTCGTTTGGAATAAATTCGCCCTTGTTATATTTGCTGATAATGACTACAGGCTACATAGGTTAGGCCTGTGGCCTAGGACTAAGCTGCCTAGAGGAGTACCCATCCATGGCCTAGCTAGGCTAACTAGCCAGGGCCAGGCCAGCCAATGGCATAGCTTATTTCTATGATCCTATGCCTAGTCTCTTAGACTTAGGGCCTAGGACAGGTCTAGCCTATAGCCTTCTTTCGGAAACTAGGAAATAACTCACTTTTTTCATCTTCTTCTTCGAAACCTTGTTTTAGGGTATCCGAAACTCTTCTATAATACCCAATTGTGGACTCATCTAGTCTTCCAACCCTACCATCAGGTTTTCCCTCATGTTTATTGCTTTTCTTTCCCTTCATCTTGCTACACACTGTGATTAATGGGCGCAGACATTTTGATTGATTTTCGACTGTTTGAGGGCGTACTATTCAATTTATTTTAGCTATTAAAAATTAATATTGTTTCTAAAATATATACATAACAGTACTACCTACAATGTTATCGTTATTCTCATTCCCTTCATTATCATCATCATCATCATCATCATCATCATCATCATCATCATCATCATCATCATCATCTTCTTCTATTAGTAGTCTTTAAGTTTTGCAATTGAGGCATTTAGGTTTATCAAAGAATATTTAATTCTATCTACCGTATTATACAGTCTTGAGTAGAGTAGGACCTACAGAAGAGAAGACGACCACGAGTTTACGAAGACATTTTTAGACAATTTTTTGTGTGTCGGGCGTCCAAGACAACTCCCTGTTTTAGCATCGGAACATACATTTTGGGGCTCTTTATGGTTTTGATACTGCATCTAGCTGGCGAAAAACGAAGCCAAATGTACGGCTAATCTTCCAAATAATACCTTTTTTTTGGGGCTTTTTAATGTTCATCAAAATCTTATTTACCCGCATTTAAAATTGATTCCATTGATATTTAGAGTTGTGTGTGCTTCGCGTATTTAGACGACCCCTAGTTTTTCGATAGTCATTTGCTACCGTACTTTAAGCCTCGTCTCGAGAATATCGGATCCCCTTATGCAATGTAATGGTAAATTGAATAAAATCTTTGCGGTATCAAGACTTTTCGAATAAATTGAGTCGAATTGTCGGTATTTTCAACACCGTCAGTTCTTTCCACTGTTACTGTTTAGCCCGGCATTTTCCTCGGAAGACAAATGTAGGTAAAATGGCCCCGGAAAAATGGCCCCGGTAAAAATAGCCCCAGTAAAAATGGCCCCAATTGACAAGTAGGTAAAAATGGCCCCAATGAAAAAAACCATTAATAGAAATGATATTTTTTTTTAATCCTCAAATATTTAAATATAGCTGTAAAAAGCAAGAATTGAATCAATAACAAATACAGTTATACACAACAGATGCAAATAATGTACTGAGAGATTATCGGAAAACAATGGCCATTGAATAACATTTTTTGATAGTAGAAATAAGTTTTAAAACGTTATTCCACTAACAAAGTAGAGGAATGACATACACACAGTACCTCAACTACCAAAATATGCAACTCATAGATAACCACAAAATTCACTTACGTTAAGTATCAAATGAAATAACTATACATGTTATAAACAGTGCAAATAAACAGTAGTTAAAGCATGTGGATCAATTGTGTGTATGAATTACAAGTTCATGTGTGGGAAAAGGGAGAGGCTTACTTTCTCACAAACTTAGCAATAAATTTGTTTTGCTTAGAGTTACTTCAAAGAAGTATTTATTAATCAAATATTGTTTTTAAAGTAAACTGAATAATTAGGAATAGGCCTACATTCATTTAAGCAACTAAATTTAAGTGCATAAAACTATACTAAATAATTTAAACTGAGATACTATATATACATTTTTTTTAAACACTGTTTTAATACAGAATTTTATTATTGGGGCCATTTTTACCTACCTGTCATTTGGGCCATTTTTACCAGGGCCATTTTTACCGGGGCCATTTTTTCCGGGGCCATTTTTTCCTGGGCCATTTTTCCCGGGGCCATTCTTTACCGTACACCTCGGAAGACACATGGCCGTCAGACGGGGATCCGTTGACAGAATCACTACTGTGTTCACTTGAGATCAAAATCTCTATTATCATTCCAGAGTATCGTCTACCTATTATGGACTAGACCTATTGTACACCACGTACATTTTATATTGACATGAATAAAAGAATAAAACAGTATGGCTAAACTATAGCCACCAAACAAACAACGGATTTGGTGTCTCTCACGTCTTTATTAAAAGGAACAACCATTCGTTCAGATTCTCGGATCTAGCATCCAGCCAAATGTCACTTAGTTTCATTTCATTCTCAAGAATCTACCATTATCATTCCAGAACTTACAACTATTATGGACTAGACCTGTTGTACACCACGTAGGCCTACATTTTATATTGACATATTGACATGAATAAAAGAATAAAACAGTGTGACTAAGCTATAGCCACCAAACAAACAACGGATTTGGTGTCTCTCACGTCTTTATTAAAAGGAACAATGCCATTCGTTCAGAGTCTCGAATCTAGTCACACAGCCAGCCAAATGTCACTTAGTTTCATTTCATTCTCAATGAGTATGTCTTATTTTACGAACGTAGGTCTACTAAATTACTTGCAAAAAAAATTGGTAAGAATTCATAATGTTTTGATATGATGGATTATTTTGGGCAGATAAGTATATTTTTTAAAAGCAAATGGTGAACAAATAGGGCCTATGTAATATTTATAATAATACATATTTATTTTAATACATATTTTTTATATTTTAATATTTATAATAATATTTATTAATATTTAATTATATTTATTAATATTTATAATAATACGTTTTTTTTTATCACATAATTTTTTTTTATTTTTAAAGTAATACATATATTTTGAAGTAACAAGTATAATGATTAATTTATTGATAAATATAAATTAAGAGATCACTGCATGACAGAGGTTGATTCTTATGAATATTGATATATTGGTGTACTGTTATTATTATTGTTTATTGTTTAGGCCTATTATTGTTACCTATTTGTTTATATATAATGTGTGCAGTTTGTGGCGAAAAAGTCCACCCCTCCCCCTCCCCCACCCATGTCGGTCGTTCGACGCCACAACGAGGCCTATCTAAATAACCTTATTTTTTGATTGCCAATTGTGGTCTAAAAGCACTATTTTGGGCCATACTAAGCCATAACAACTCTCTACTTTCGGACCCACTGTCAGCAACTTAAATTCTGGAACAACCACTAAATGTGTGTGTGCGTGTGGGTGGAATCTGTCCGTGGTGAATGTCACCTTCAACAAGAAATTGTACTTTAGCTAATCGCTGTCTTTAGCTAATCGCTAATTCTGAATGGCATCACGCATTCAGTGCGTGTCTTGATTGGCTGAGACGAGACCGTTAATAACAGCCAATGGTTAGCATTAACAAAGTTGATCCGAACAATAAGTATTCAAATTGAACAACATTCTTTGACTATACCATTCAATAAAAGTTAAATTTCCATTTTTTCTAATAATTAGATAATTATAATAAAATTTCAGTCTTTTCTACGAAAGTAACAATAACAATAATTACCACAGTATAGCACTTAAAGCAAAATGCTTGCTTATAATTTTCAGTTCGGTGTCTGGTCATTGTTGGTATACCCCCTAAGCTAAAATGAAGTAACCACTAGACCAAAGAATATCAGAAGACTGGGCCATTCTTACTTCTTCCTCGTCGAGAGACGACCTGTTTTGAATACCGTTTGATTTACGAGATGACAATGAACGGCACAGACGGGAATTTGCAAAGCCTCGAGGATGCACTTTCTGCGTTACAAACCAATTCAGATTTGTTCTTCAAGATTATGATGGCCTGCATGATATTTTGTAAGTTTCACATGACTTTGTTTACATTCGTTGAAAATAATACTATGAGATTAAAATCCCACCAGGCTACGCGGCTTTGGATAAATCAAGTAGGCCTCCTATTCCTTTTTCGTAATTTTTAAAACAATAAGCCTGATTGAGTAATTAAGTTTATACCGGATAGGCCTACAATTTACTTAATTTTTAATAGGAAAAGTAAAGAGACCGTTTACAGACAATATAGATTAAAATATCATATATTTCGGCCACTCCAGTCGTGTAGCGAGGTAGTCATGGACCACTCCCATACGCAATCCCAGCACAATAACGCTTCGAGTTACGTAATCGCAAGTATATGCCTCTTTTGACGGTACAGTAATTGTTATTTTATAATAGAATTAAAAAATATATATATATTATCAGACATTGACTCGTTATTTGTTTTGTGAAGTTTTTATAACGTATAACGTAAGGTCTGACAATATGTCTAACCCAAGAATGTTTATACTTATCCCAAAGTTATGCAATGTGGATTTGCTTTCTTGGAAGCTGGGTCGGTGAGAAGCAAAAATACTACCAATATTTTGATCAAGAACTTTTTAGATGTTTGTAAGTATTGCGTCTCTTTGATATTCAGTGTGTTCTCAGAGCTCACTCATGACGTAGTTAACTTTGAAAACGCACACAAATATAAACATTTAACAATGCTGTAAGTGGTCATTCATTTTAGTTCAAAATGTCCAGTGATTCTCCGTTTTATTTTCCAAAATGACAAATTCAATAAGCACGATACAGCATATCTGTAAAAGAAATGTGTTATTGTGTTGCACACCAGAAGGTGGCAGCGCCCAGTACATCAATCTTATGTGACGCACTGTTAACCGTTAGCTGCCGTGCGTCCATGCGAGAAAATCCCAATCCGGATACCAACAATTATGATGATCGAATCACTGGCCAATAAGAAACTGGAAATTGTAAACGTGTACGTGTGATTGGTTGATGATAGAAACGCCCTCAACTTGCTAACCGATAGCGCTTGCTATTGCTAACCGTTAGCGTATCCGGATACCGCTAACGGTTAGCGCTAACCGATCGGGCGTTCTCACGCAGGTGCTAACGGTTAGCGCTAACGGTTAGCTCCCGATCCGGATACTGGGGCTCTCGTGTGAACCAGGCTAGCATATTGTTGGTATCCGGATCGGGATTTTCTCGCATGGACGCACGG